TAGGTCATGAAATTGAGAGGGAGTGAGAAAGGGGTTTGGGAAGAATTGGAAGGGGGAGAAGGTTGGGTGGAAATGATGTAAATATAGTACTCAGATATGAAATTCTCAAAAATAAAAAAATTAAAAATAGGGTCATACCTATTGCCCCTGCTCTGTTACTCACAAAACTTCACAATAAGACCCTATTGCTGAAGAAACCTCATACATGAAATATGGAACAAATAAGGAGAAATAAAGCTGGGGCTGACTTCAAAGCCTCATCTCTACCGTCTAGCTTTCATAATGCTGGAATGTGCTAGGCAAACAACTTAAAGAGAAAATTTAGCATGAACCTTACCCAGCTGTGAATCTTGTGAACTACAGCAACAGATTGCCTGTCAAGATATGCCCACAAAAATTGTAGGAGTAACCAACTACTTTCCAGTCGAATTTAAGGTCTACTTCATATGATGGAGCTCATACCTGACATTGATATCAGGCCTAGGGACCTAAGCCTAGACAACCCACAGGCTATGGAAGAGAGCCAAGTACAATTATGCTATATATATAATTAAACTGATTTCTAATGACTTATTGATATACCCACAGATTAATGCATCTTTCAACTCTCAGCAGAGAAGATTATTAAGCAGATGGTGATCAACAAAGAACCACAAGTGGTCAATGTGTAGAGAACAAGAGGTTGCAGACTGTTTATTCCTGAATAGGATGCCTATATCAAACTTCTGTCTCCAAAGGATCAGGGATCATTGTGCAGAAAGTTTGTAAGAGGCAGAGGTGACTGATGACCATTAGGAAACAGTTTTCTAAACAGGTACTCATATGAACTCACAACAATGGTGACAGCATGCACAAGTCCCACATAAGCTCAAACCAGACAAAATCCTAGCATAGATGTGGGGTAGTGGGGAAGAAAACCCAAACCACCTGAGGAACTATTGGCAATTGATGGCTGCTGGGAAGGAGAGGGTCAGTCTCCTTTAAGTGTGAGACTCTTAGTAGGTTGCCCAGGTTCCAATGAATGGACCCACAGTGAGGGGCATTTGGGGATATGAACATGAGTCTATAGGCCTTAATATATGTATAGGTATATACATATATTACATACATGTATATACACACATGTATGTGTATATATGTGTGTATGTATACACATGTATATTAGAGCGAAGAAATTTGGTGGGGAACTAGAATGAAAGGATGCTGATAAGGGAGGGGATCTAATATGATTAAAATATACTGTATGAAATCTGAAAAAATTAAACAAAAATAGGTTCATAAAATTTGAAATGATTTCTTTAGACATTTTTGCTTTATATGTATGAGTGTTCTGCCTGCATGTATAGACATGCACTCATGTCGTGCAATGCTCAGAGGTCAGAAGAGGTCATTGGGTCCCCTGGAACTGGAGTTATGGAAGGTTGTTAGCTACCATGTGGGTACTGGAGCCCAAACCTGGGTCCTTTGCAAGACCAGCCAGTGCTTTTAACCACTGAGCCATTTTTCCAGTCCATGAAATTATTTTCTTAAGAGATTAATAAGAGTGGTTATCTTTACTGACTAAATTCATCAGCAAACTGGATTTCTTTCACCTATGTAAACAAGCAACAGGATCAAATAGCTGGAAGAAACCTGACTCCTCTGCATCTCAATTTTTACTTGAAGATGACTATATTTACAAATAATGTAATTTAAATAGTATAAAATCACATAATTTTCAAGGTGGGAAAAGAATATTATATTTGACAAGTAATAATACAATAAAAATCTATCTGGTGTTTAAATCTTTGGAGCATTTTAAAATGTCACTTTTAAAACTAATATAAAATGCCATGACACAAAATACTACTCCTTTGATAACTGATTATAATTTTATAAAACTCTACTGTAATGTCCATTAACATTGAGCTAGAAATCTCTCCACCTACAAGTTTGAACAACTGGGCTTGTTTCCACATTCTCATTTACTAGCGTAAGAAAAATCAATACTTTAAATGTGCCTACTATTTCCATGATGGTTTTCAAATATTTAAAGGGAAAGTATGAGTTAATAATTATTGAAGATTTACCTTGTCTGGGTATATTTAAAATACTTTATACATAAAGGTATATTAAATCTCTCCAACAACAGATTATTACTATTCCCATTGTCCAAATCAACAAGATGAGTCTCATCAAATTATAGAACTCATGGTACAACACAATCTGAATCCAGGGCAATTTGGCTTAAGGAGGGAGGCTTGTTTGTTTTCTATTACTGGTTTTCAACAATACATAAATATGTGGTGTGATAAATACAAGTATAAATACATTAACAGTATTATTTGGAGTTTTATTTACTATTACAGCATATAAACTTTTCATTCTTTAGTATGTTAGTAAATTATGTGATCATTATTGGATCCCTATTGTTGATGAGTTATAAACAATTTTAGCTCTGAATATACTCCAACTCTACCACTGGGACAGGTTCTATGCTAAAATGCAATAATTGTTTCAAGCACTAAATTGTCAAAATTATAACAGTCTGCTCCAAACGTTAGGGTTATTATGCTTTATAGCAATACTCTGAGGCAGAATAATAAGCTATTACATTATAGCTCATTAAACGAGTTAAATATTTTTAAGCACATTTCTACTTAAACTACACAATAATCAAATTTACATTTTTTCCCATTAGCCAATGCAAAGTCAGATACTATGACTTGATTTCTATGGCTATCAGTGTTCCCTGAATTTGATGCCTCTACCTAATTGCCTAGTCAATAAATATATTTGAGATCTATAACTGAATTCACTATCTTTCTCTTCCATTACTCCTAAACAATCCCTTGATTTATACAATTACATTCTAGCAGAAAGCTGGGTTCATAGGAGGTGTGGGATTCATATCTGAATATTTTTGTGGACTGTAAGAAAAATGAGAAAAGTTAGATTAGGAAAAATTAGTTGAACAGAACTATAATACTTATCATTAAGATAAACTATGTTAATGATAATAAACAGTGACAAAATATAGTCAAAAGACAGCTGTATACAGCTTTAATTATCTTTATAAAGTTGTATTTTCTCCCACAGCAACTGTTAAAAAAATCATTTCTGAACTTCTAAATTGCTCACTTTTAAAATTCATAAAAATTTATAATAATAATAATTAGCAATGTTTGCTACTAATTTATAAAATAGTATTGTTTAGATATGAGTATGATTCTCTTTTAAAAGATTTATTCTAATTTTATTTATGTATGAGTGTGTGTCTGCATGTATGCCTTCAGAAGCCAGAAGAGGACTGTGGATGCCTTGGAGCTAGAGTTACAGATGGTTGTGACCTGGCAAATGTGGGTGCTGGCAACCAAATTCTGGTTTGCTGCAAGAGCAGTAAGTACTCTTAACAACTGAGCCATATTTTCAGTCTGGATGACTATCATTCTAATGGAAGTAAATAGAGTTCATAAAAATGTGGAGTATACTTCAAGAGTACTTAGAGTTGAAGATGACTGGGGGATATATAACCTAGTACTTTAAGACAGAAAAACTGTCAAAGTTTTACATTAGTTTATTTAAAAAATTTTTATTTTTATTATATGTGTATGAGTGCTTTGCCTCCATGTATGTGTGCCATATGTATGCAATAACCATGGAGGCCAGAAGAGGGCATCTGATCCCCTGGAACTGGAGTTACAGATGGCTTTTAGCTGCCATGTGTGTGCTAGGAACTGAACCTGACTCCTCTGCAAGGGCAGCGAGTGCTCTTAACTGTTGAGTCATCTCTCTGGTCCCATATTAGTTTATTTATTAATAAACTTAGCAATAGATTCATTTTCACTTAAGGAACTGATAAGAAATAAAATCAGGCTATCATAATAAAATGTCAACTAGTATTTAACATCCAATTATTACGTTTATGAAATTTAATCAAGAAAAAGTTTGTAATATATCAAGAGGAAAAAAGCATGATGAGGCTGTCAAAATGGCTCAGGTGGTAAAAGCTCTTGTTGCAAATCCTGACAATTGTGAGTTCAATCCTTGGGGTCTAATATAGAAGGAAAGAATAGATCCCCTGAAGTTGTTCCTCTGACCTTCATGTGGATCATACATACATACACAAAAAAATATAATAAAAATTTTAAGATTAAGATTGATCGAGATGTTCTATATGAAATACACAAAAGTTCAACAAAAAATTTAAAAAACAAAACCAAAAAAATTTTAGATGTCATATAAAATTATAGTAGGGTTGCAATCATCTAAGAGGAACAGAAAAGTTTATTGCAGAAGAATTGGAAGTTGGGGCTGGAGAGATGGCTCAGTGGTTAAGAGCACTGACTGCTCTTGCAGAGGACCTGGGTTTGAGTCCCAGCACCCACATGGTGGCTACAAACCATCCTTAACTCCAGTTCCAGGGGAATCCAAAGCCCTCTTCTGATCTCTGTGGCATCGCATGACACAGGTGCACTCATATACATGCAGGCAATACACTCATACACATAAAATAAAACTAATAAAAAAAGATTTGGAAGATAAAACAATAAGCTATTAGTAGTAAATTTACATAGTATTGTGGGAATTTTTTTAATGGCTTTTAAAAGATTTTATTGATATGTGGCATACTTCATAATTTACAAAAGTAGTTGTCATGTTACATAAAAATTGCAGAGGAAGTTACAAGAAGAAGAGATGCAATAATGTACTTACAACAGCTACAACAACACTGATTTCTCAACGTAATTTTTGTTGTTAGAGCAAATAATACCAAGATGCACCAAGAACATTCTCCTTTCCCTGAACTGATGAACAGGGGAATGTTATCACAAATGGAGGAGGGAACAGTTTCAGGCACCATTTTGTTTATAATAGGCTCTGACTGGTGTGTTTTATGAAAGGAGCACCAAGTACTCTGTGTGCCACATCAGGTGTGTTCAGTCTGAAAAAGTCTCAGATTCACTGTATCAGTGAAAAAGTTAGAAAGTGTTTCTACTACTTACTTTCCCATTGCTGACAACACCTATTTCGCCAGGTTGCAATTTAAGCACATCTTGACAGAATAACTGGTGAGTTCTGAAAATATTTACTCCAATGGTGTTATATTTTTTCTCAAAAGCATTCTTATCCATTTCCTAAGATACAAATTAAAAATAATGAAGCTATTAAAATGAATAAAATGTATGAGGTAAATATGCATATAAATAATATATGCAAAGCCCATTTTTATTAATATTATAATTGAAATTACATTATTATTTTTATTGTCTGAATCAACATTTTTGTTTGCTTTGAGGCAGATTCTACATGTCGCTCTAGTTGGCCTGGAGCTTACAATGTAGACCAGGCTAGCCTGAATCAACATTTTGAAGAATCTTCTTTTGGCACTGGAGAAATGGCTCAGTGGTTAAGACCTCTGGCTGCTCTTGTAGAGGACTTGGGTTTGGTTCCCAGCACCCACATGACAGTTAACAACCTCCTGTAACTCCAGTTCCAGGGGATCCAACACCCTCTTCTGACCTCCATGGGCACTGCATAAACATAGATGCACTTACATACATGTGGGTAATACACTCATACACAAAAAAATAAAATATTTCAAAAAAGAGTCTTCTTTTGCCAAGTCATTTACAAAAATTTTAATCTTGTTACAAAAACATATAGTTACAAATTATTCATTATTTGAGAATTTCAGAGTGATTGCTAGATCAAATGTTTGAGAATGTCAATTTAAATAAAATTGAATATTAAATTAATTAAATGTACAACCAGAGTGGGCCTTAAACTCTCAAGTTTTAGCAAGTTGCTGTGTACTACTATGATGATGGAAATTTTCCATTGTACAGTTCAATATGGGAATCAAGGCCCCAGATGGTTATTTGATTAGCACTTGTAGCATAATATGGTTAGCATGCTTGAAAAACCAAATTCAAACGCAAAGTATAAAATAATCATATTTAGACCCTGACTTCAGTATTGTGGACATCACAGATCTAGATATTCTCACCTCCCAACTCCTCAATTTATTCATCTCTCTGTCTACAACCTCCAGACATGATCCCATTACCAGAACAATCGTTACTCAGCCTTTCAGTCTGCAAACCTTATCACTTATTCATCATCCTTCCCATAGGATAATTTTCCTCTTCACTAAGATTTCTCTTATTAATGGCAAATCTCAGCTCCACTCAAACACCAGTCTGCTTACTCTGAAGTTGGATACAAAAAACAATTACGGTGGGACAAAACATGTAACCATGCTTTTCTACTTATGATCACTATTTTCAAGTCAACACTCAGCAATGATAAGAAAGTCTTCATTTAAGTCTTTCATTCTCAGAATAGAAAAATGGGACATTTTCTCCTTTCCTCAAAATTCTAGTATGTATATGCCAGTCTACTACTTAACTAATCAACTGACTTTTGAAAGTAAAGGCCATCAGAAGATAAATAATTCACCTTGCTGTCAATAAGTAAATAGAGTTTGCTGTAGCATGTATACCCACAGATTCTACTTTTCTCCCAGTTAAAATGGATAAATAACTTCTGTTCTTAGGATTAAACACTTGTGTGATACAGCTCAGCACCTCTTATCTGCTCAAGAACTTTGGTCACTTGTTTATATTATACTTTCTCATTTTTTTGTATAGATTGCCCCCATTAACATACAAAAGGCGGTAACTCCAAAATTTAGAAATCCTTCCTTTACCTCAAGTCTCAATCTAGATAGCCTTGTTTAGTGCATTTCCCTGTATAGGAACATAAACAGCTACTTACAACTACAGCTACTTATTTTCTGATTTCCCATTCTCAAGTTTAGCTTATTTTTATTTCTATCATTCCACGGGAACAATTCTAATCAGGGACACTAAAGACCAATTTGCCAAAATAATTCAAATATGAAAAATATGAGGCCTCATTTCAAAAATTCTTGGCATAGCGTTACTCCATCCTTGAACTATTTACTCCAAATTGCTTTCCCAACATGATACTTCCTAACTCATGGGCTGTGCCATCTCTCTCCTTCACTTTGGTCATTCCCTTCAAATACAAATAAATATACTGAAATGTTCCAGTGCCCCATTTTCAGTCCTTTCTTCTCATCCACTTCCCTATACTCCTAAGGAAATCTAATATTTCAGTTTCTAAAACTATATAATGCTGATAAAACTCGGCATTATATATATGTACATATATATATACATATATATATATGCTGATAAGTCTCATATTGACTTAAAATACTACAGCCCTTCAATGAGATCAACACTCATCCATTCAAACTGTTAACCAACATTTCCACTGTAATGTTCAATAGACATCTCCAACTAAACACGTACAAAATTTAATTCTCAATTTCCTATTTATTCCAAATTTTCTCATCTAGACTTCTTCATTTCAAGAAAGACACATTCATTACTATCAACTATTTAAGGCAAAACCCCAAACTTCCTTTACATATCATAATCAATGAGCTAATTCTGTTAACTATAGTACCAACAAATACTTTGTATTCAGTATTTTATCACTTCCATCACTATCTAGTCAACACACTATTACTTCTTGATTAGAATACTATAATAGCATTCTATTTGTTCATCTTGTTTTTATTCCCATCTACCAACAATCAAATCTTTACAGGATTCTAGTCATAGATTTTCAAGGGCTTCTTAATGTACTCAGAAAAAAAACTTCAAGTCCTTACCATGGCTTGAAAGTACTTAAAATTTGACCTGACTCTCCACACAACTACTCAATTCTGGGCATACTGACATCTCAGACTTGGCAAGATTGCCTCTGGATCAGGCTTCCTGGCTTGCTATGCTCCTGAACCCTGTACTTTACTCACAGACTTTCTTGTGGTTTGATCTCTCTTTCACACAGAAGTGCTCAAATGTAACCTCTTTAAAGATGTCTTTCCTAAGTACTCCATCTAAAATAACATCCTCCAAATGAATATCCTTATATTTTGTCTACCTTTCTCATCTTAATGTAAAGTCTATAAAAATCAGAGATTCTGCTTGTATTCTTTACAAAACATCTCCATTGTCTGGCAGATTAAGAAATTTTTTGAATGGATAAATGAGTATTTCTTCCAGAAAACCATTTGAGTTTAGAATTTCTCCCATAGTAGACACCTTCAGTTAAATACTTGAAGTTGGGCTGAAGAGATAGCTCAGCGGTTAAGAACACTGACTGTTCTTGCAGAAGACCTGGGTTCAAATTCCAGCACTCACATGGAAGCTAACAACTATCCATAACTCCAGTTTCAGGGGATCCGACAGCCTCTGCTGTCCTCCGTGGGCACTGCATGACAGGGGTGCACTTACCTACATGCAGGCAAAACACACATACATATAAAATAAAAATAATAAATAAAATATTTTTTAAAATACTTGTTATCTGCATGATGCTTTAACCCTAACTTATCTTCACTTGGGTACATATCCTAAATAGAATGACACCAATGAAATATATTAAACTTAGTTTTGTTTTATGCCTCCATCTAGTAACATTATTTAATCTTTATCTTGCCCCAATATACAACCATGTATTATTATCAATTTATTAGATTTGTTAATATTTTTCAGTACTATGGCACAATAAGTATATGAATTACACTTTTGAAATACACAACACATATTTATTACTTTACTGACCGTAGAAAGGAGTGTTTTAATTTTATATCCAGAGTAAATAGCTGTAGCAATTTCTTCTTTTGCCAGTTTCCCAAGAAAGCTTCTCAAAAGGTGGTTTTTATGTGTAAGAAAAGCTGCCAAAATTCCTCTCGAAATGACTGTGTTCTCTTCATTTATCTTTGATGTAGGATTATAAATAATTCCCAACCGACTATGAACACTTGTTTTCTGTAAAACACATTGAGAGATCAAGAAGAACAACACTTGTACCTTTTCCCAGTTGAACATATATTTCCCCATCAAGGTTGTCCACCTTACCTTGTATCATCTTTCACTGTCAGTCTTCTTATGATGAATTTTATAGAATGCATAATTGCAACTACAATAGCCTGAGAAACAATCATAACTCTACCACTCCATCTCTTTGCATAGAGATGTTTTAGTAATGTAATCTTAAGCCTCTTTGTGAGTGTATAAAAAACATAAAAATATACAAAGCAAAACTGTAGAATACAGTGGATTAAAGTACTGTAAACAATTATATAAGTCAATTACACAGCACTGCAAGTAGCCCAAAGTCAGCCCTCATCCCTTTCTACAAACGCCCTCTTTTCCAAAATAATTAGTATCCTGCCATTTATAGTAAGAAAACCCTTGTATCTCTATATAACTTATTCCTTAGTTTGTACCATTAGACATTTAATATATTTCAAATTCATGTGAATGGAATACTGTTGTATTTGATAAACTGTGCTTTATCACTCAATACAATGTGAGATGCACCAGTATTGTTTGATGTATAGTTATTTTGCAAAGCATATGTAATTCCATGATACGTGTATATTCTTTTATCCAGTCTGTTGCTGGACAGTTGAGCCTTTTCCAATTTAGAGTTCTATATCAGGATATGCAGATCTTTCTTTTTAAATTTTGTTATTTTTATTTTATGTGTATGTGTGTATTGCCTGCATGCAGGTAAGTGCACCCATGTTGTACAATGCCTGTGGAGGTCAGAAGAGGGTGTCGGATCCCCTGGGACTGGACTTAAGCACAGTTGTTAGCTGCCATGCAGGTGCTGGGATTTGAACCTGGGTCTTCTGCAAGAACAACCAGTGTCCTTAACCACTGAGCCATCTCTCCAGCCCCAGGATATGCATATCTTTAATTTCTGAACTAGTCAGTTTTCAAAATATCTGTTCTAGTTTCCAGTCTCACTAGAAATATATGTGTTCTGTTATTTCAAAGCTCATAAATATTTTTCATTGCCATTAAAATTAAATTGAAATCATTCTGTGCAGAATGGGAGGATATTTCACCAGGGTTTTACTTTGTTCTTCCTTCATCACTAATAATATAAGCAACCTTTATTATATTCACTGGCCTTTTATTTTCTGATTTGCTTGCTCGATTTTTTAGCCATTTTTTAAAAAGTGGATTTTTTTCCTGATGTGCTTGATTTCTCAAATTCAAGTGCTTTTTGGTTGCATCTCATAGGTATCATAGCATAGATATGGTCTTCCACTCTGTAGCTTGTACTTTATTAGTGCTGTGATTTGACAGAAAGTAGTTGGTATTTATAATTTTAATGTACAGTAGTTCAATTTTTTAATATTTTAAGTGACTGTTACTAGATTTTATGTTTTAGAAATTGTTATTCTGATGTTATAAAGATATTCTTCAAAAGAATCCATTGTTTTGCTTTTATGTTTAAGTCTATTATTACCTACCTGGAATTGGTTTTGAGCATGTTGTCAAAAGTACAGAGGTTTTAAAAAAGACTATCTTTATACTTTCATTGTCTAACTATATCATATGTGCTAATGTATGAAGGGCACTGCTTCTGGGGTCTCCTTATTTTCTAGTATTCTATTTTTGGTAACCCTGAGTTAAGAACAAATTGTCTTCAATTATGTAACTATATAGAAGGTCACAACAGTGAAGTAATTCTCTATCTCTGCTTAAGAGCATTTTGACTGTTCTTAGTCTTTAGAACCTCTACATAAGTTTGCAAAGTAGTGTGACAATTTCCATAAAAAAATTCAGAGGCTCCTACTGCAATTACAGTAAAGATATTCATCAATTATGTGAGACGTGACAACTTTAAAACATTGAGTCTCTTGATTAATGATTATGATACATTCTTCCATTCTCATAGGACTTCTGTATTTTACCCCAAAAGATTTTCAATATACTTTGTTACATTCATTTCTAGTATTTGCTGTTTTTGGGGGGGTCTTTTTGAGACAGGGTCTCCCAGTAGCCCCAGCAAGCTTGGAACTCACTATGTAGACCAGGCTGGCCTTGAACTCAGAGATCCCCCTGCCTCTGCCTCCCAAGTGCTGGGATTAAAGGCGTGTGCCACCATGCCTGGCTGTATTTGCTATTTCTATACTAGTATAAATATCTGTGCCTCCAGAGACTGAACTTAGGTCATCAGTCCTAAGTACTTTTACCCACTGAGCCATCTCCTCAGCCTGATTAACGCACTTTTAAGGTTGTGTTTTGAGTTTATTGTTGTAAAGATACTTGTATATTGAAAAACTTAGGGATAATGAAATAAACATTCATCCCATAAGAACATATAATTAAAGTACCACTTCTCAAAGCTTCAGAAGCAGCAACTTCTGAAGTTTAGTGGAGGTTACCTTGTTGATGTGTAGCAATTTAACTACAAGTGAAAAGCAAAACAGTTTGCAGTTCTCTCAGAGAGCATGTTCCCAGCACATATTGAAAAAGCAGGGAGAAGTTAATCTCTCTCAAATCTGCTGCTTTACAGAATCAAAACAATTCCTTTTCCCCCCACTACAATAATTTACTTACAGACTACTGATAAAACCCAAATGGATTCTGGCATGGTATAATATGATATGAAAATCTTTCAAATGCTATGTTTCATTTAAAATGTTTAATCCTAATGTGGCATCAAGCCTTCATAATGACCCTAGTGATCCCTGCCTACTGTTACTCATGCCCTACAAAGTCATCTTCTTATGCTGAATAGATGTATCCATTTAACAAACAGTAAATATTGTCTATAACTTAAATTTTTTTTTTATTATTTTATGTGTATGAGTGTATTGCCTGCAATGTATGTTAAGTGCACCCATGTTGTGCAATGCCTGCGGAGGTCAGAAGGGGGTGTTGGATTCCCTGGAACTGGAGTTACAGACAGTTGTTACCTGCCATGTGGGTGCTGGGAATTGAACCCAAGTCCTCTCTAAAAGCAGTGCTCTTAACTGCTGAGCTATCTCTCAGGCCCAGGCTATAACTTTTGAGACTACTTTGTAACTCCATCTGGTTTTGCCTTTATCTGTTTATTTCTCATTCTAAGGAAGGCCAGATACCATGCTGTGAAAATTTTTGCAGTACAAAAAGTAGGTTTGGATATTAAATAAGATACTCTGTTCCTCATCCAGCAGGCAGGCAAGTGGGCCATCTAAGCTGGTCATCTTTGAGTTCTTGCCAACCTCTCAGATGTCCACAGCTGAAGCCAAATCTGGACTGCATTCTCATGGGAAGGCTAATCTAGAGCCACTTAGCTAACAGGTGAGAAAATAAGTGATCATTATTTTAAGCTATTGAGCTGTGGAATAATTTGCTATATAGGAATAAGCTTACATTCAGCTAATATAAAATTTCATAAAATGTTTTGGTTTCATAATTTTTTATTTGTTTTAAATGAATTTTTGTGTATTTTATACAGAATATCTCAAATGATCTTTTGTTCTTCTTATTTTTTTTTAAAATCAGGCTCAATCTCACAGAGATCTGCCTATTTCTCCTTCCCAAATGGTGGGATTAAAAGCATGTGCCATCAATATTGGCCTGCCATCATATTTTTAAAAAAATTATTTAATAACCACGATTAGAAGAAGCATTTCATTACAGCTTTAACATAATCAATAACAACTTCCAGAGAAAAGATACATCTCTTTCAAAAGTGGCTGTATATTTTTAGGTTCACAGTTGACTGAATACAGTTATACAATATTGAACTCAGTATAAACCCTATAAGATAAAATTGAGTTTTTAACCTTTAAAAAAAAAATCTCCATTTCATTTTAAAAAATATACTGTTTCCTACAGAAAGACTCATTTTTAATTCTACTAACACTTAGATGTTTGCACATGCATCTCTAATCTGTATGTATCTGATTATTAGTAGTCATGGTCGGTTGGACTCGGATACTCGGAACCTAAGTATGGATATAAAGTCATCAGGTAGATTTCAAGGGTAATGTTCATCACCTCTACTGATTAACATGAAGTAAGTTTTTATGCTTCCTTCTCAAATATAACTTTTTTAATTTGATTTTTGTGTGTGTATATCATACACATCCCAAACAATCTTATTCATCTAAATACCCACTTCCAAAATGGCACCCTCTCATAGAGCCCGCCTCCTCCTACTGGAGCCCATATACTCTGTCATCCCTGTTACTGTCCACTGTGTTGTCGGCGCCCCTAGTCATTCTCCAGTGCTTGTCCATCCACTGAATTTAGTCAGCCTATCTAGAGATCCTTGTTTTAGGAAGATCAGCTGTTCCTCATCTAGCAGTAATCAGTTGTCAATATTCCTTTAGATAAGAGTGGGATCTGCTGTTGATTTTCCAAGTTCTATGCTGGGTTACTGTTTGGAAGTCTCTTGGGCCACCCTGGCCAACAAGTCAAAGGAAGGTATCTCCTGTCTGGCATTATTTCTTGTTATGTAGGCTTTAGCTACATAATATGGACTCTTAAAAAATTATACTGAACCCTTTAATCTTTGGTTATACTTTCCTTTTGGATGTTTAAGACCCTACAGTTGGCCCAGATAAAGCAATTTATTTTTACTCTTAAGGTCGTTTGAGATCTGTTCCTCAGGGGTCATATGGGCTTGGGAGGAGGCTCTGTCTCCATTCTATTACCAGTTTCGTCTATGTGAAGAGAAGTCAAAGGTCCTGCTCAACCATGGCTGGCTTTGCTTGGAAGCATGGAGGAAATGTTTTCTGTGTTGACCCTCCTCTTTGTAGACTGGACACTGGTTCAAGTCCAGCTGGTGGCTGTCTCCACGGCCTCCTTGATCAAGAGGACAGGTGACTCACCACAGTTACAGGGCATTTTGAGAGATGCTCATAGTCGCCTGGAACTTAGTCAACCTAGGAAGGCAAGGAGCAAAACTGTCCTTTATGTCCCTCTGACCAAATTAGTATAGGCCTCAAAATATGGCTGTTAAACATCCAAGGAGG